TTAATTGTAACCTTGTTCAATCCTTTGTAATCAATACACAGTCTCAATGTTCCATCTCCCTTCCTAGCAAAAGTGACTCCGACACCCCAAGGGAACACACTGTGTCTAATAAAACCATTGTTTTATAATTCAGTGATCTGTTTCCTCAGCTCTTCCATCTCAATGCGGCTCATGCGGTAAGGAGCAATCGAAATGGGCTGGGTGTCTGGCTGTAGGTCTATAGTGAACTCGACTTCCCTGTCCACTAATAGTCTGGGTAGTTCATCCGAAAACACATCTAGAAAGTCTCGGACTACCAGAATCTCTTGGATACATATTTTCTTCTTGGACTTGCCTAGTTAGAGAAAATAACAATATTAAGGTACTAGAAAATTAAAGAAACTTGCCATCAAGGAATAAGTACTAAATGATTTTATTAATTTGTAAATGGCTTCTCATTGGGAGGATTAAATACAACCTTCTTGTTAAAGCAATCTATGGTGGCGTGATACGCCGCTAGCCAATCCATTCATAAGATTACATCAAAATCCCCTATGTCTAACCTTATCATGTCTACACTCAGTTTTTTATTTTCTATCTCCACGGCACAAGCCCTGTAGACAACTTCTTCTAATAGTGTTTCACCCCCAACAGTAGACACAAACAACATTGAATCAAGTTTATTAGGTGATGCATTAAGTTTGGATGCAAAAACATGTGAAACAAATGAATGCGATACACCAGTGTCAAATAAAACATGAGCAATATGGTCACAGATAGTGTACATACCCTGTACCACGTTCGGGTCGGCATCGGCATCCTGTTGGGTGAGGTTGTAAATCCTGCTCTGAAAAGGAGGTCTTCCTTGATTCTGGTTCCTCGGGCACTCTCTCGCATAGTGCTGGGCACTACCACATATACGACAGGTGTTGTTGAGGCGGTAGCATGGTCGGTCCCTGTGATCCCTGTCACAGTGCTGGCAGATCTTTCCACGTGCTGTCCCTGGAGCCTGAGGAGGGGCCTGGATCACTGGTCTAGGCCTCTTATTTGGTTGGACTAGCACAGTAGGTGCTGGTCTGCAGGGTGGAGCTGAGGGTCGGTGACTCCCTGCTGACTGAGGACGGGTGTTGAAACTCCTCTCCACAATCTGCACCTTTGCTAGAACGACTGAGTATGTCTTGAGCTCCAGTACCAATAAGTGTTGCTTGATCTCTGGGCGGAGGCCCCACTAGAATCTCCTGGCCTTCTTACCCTCATCCATCAATGTCTCTGGGGAGTATCGGCCCAATTCTAGGAACTTACGAACATATTCCGATACCATCATGTTTCCCTGGACCAGCTGAACAAACTCTATCTCCTTTAGGTGTCGGATGTGCTTAGGGAGATATTTCGCATGGAATGCCGCTAAGAACTGCTCCCAAGTGGCTGGTGTAGGCAGGGTGGTCTGCTTGAGCTCCAACCAACGACCTGCTTCCCCTACCAGCATGTAGGAAGTAAGGGCAGCTCTCTACTCAGGAACCACTCCCAAGGTCTTGAACGCTCTCTCAGTCTCCGCCAACCAATACTGGGCATCTTCGAAAGAGGATCCCCCTGCAAAAGTTGAAGGGTTCAGTATCCTGTACCTCTCTATGTAGTCTGGGTCGATCAATGAATGAGCTGGGTCCCGTGGAAGAGGGATTAGGCCCGGCTAGGGATAGACTAAGGGGCCCTGTGGTGGCACCTGATGATATAGTGGGGGCACCGGATTGTACTGTGGCAGTGCCGGGCAGTACAGTGGCTGGGGCACCGGTTCACACTGCGGCGGTGGTGCCGGGTGGTACTGTGGTAGAGCAGGCTCGTGCCGGGGTGGCTTGGGATCCGATTGCTGTAGCGGTGGCTCAACCTGTGGTAGTGGGGGAGGTTTGGGTAACTCCCTTCTCTCCTTTCGACCTTACTGGGCGGGCATGATCCTTTCCAGTATCTCAAATATTTTGTCCACATCTTCCCGAAGCGAATAATCCCGGGCTACTCGGTTTAGTGGAGGTCTTCCTCTCCTCATTTCTCTGCACCTGCATTTCATAAGGAAGAGTTGAGTAACGATTTATTAGTGGGTATTTCTCTAAGCATTATTGTGTAAGGGATGAGTTCAAGGAACGCGGCTCTGATACCAACTGTAACGACCCCGAAAATAAAAAATAAAATGTATGTATTAAAAAATTCTCAGTGCGGAAGCAAAATGAAAATTCTGATTAATATCCCTTACACAATAACCAATAACGTATTCAACGTATGAAAGAATAAACTAACTAAGGTAAATACTAGTAATGAATGCTATAAATAAAATTATGAAATCCTTAGACGTCTACTCGCCGTCTTCCTGCGGGACGGGCTCGAGAATCAATCATCCTGATCTGAAATGGTTAAATAAGGAATGAGCTACACTAGCCCAGTAAAGACATCACACTATCTCACTGTC